TGTGGTGTTTAGTTTTGGTTTTTGCTTTGACTCTGGAGTCTATGGAGTGCCCTTTCCTGATACTCACTCTGAGTGTGAAACTTCTCTCTTCTCTTTTCTGACCCACTCACCCCTTTCCTTTCCTTTCCTTTCCTTTCCTTTCCTTTCCTTTCCTTTCCTTTCCTTTCCTTTCCTTTCCTTTCCTTTCCTTTCCTTTCCTTTCCATTCCTTTCCTTTCCTTTCCTTTCCTTTCCTTTCCTTTCCTTTCCTTTCCTTTCCTTTCCTTTCCTTTCCTTTCCCTTCCCTTCCCTTCCCTTCCCTTCCCTTCCCTTCCCTTCCCTTCCCTTCCCTTCCCTTCCCTTCCCTTTCCTTCCCTTCCCTTCCCTTCCCTTCCTTTCCTTTCCTTTCCTCTTTCCTTTCCTTATGGAGCAGTTCATCTCTTGGACATGGTGTTGGGTGCACCTGAGCACAGGGCACAGCATCATCCCACTGTGCAGTAAGACATTGTCCTATGAACTTTTGTGTATGCTTCTAGAGCAGTGGTTCTCAACCTTCCCAATGCTATGACCCTTTAATATAGTTCCTTATGTTATGCACATTGTAGTGACACCCAACCATAAAATTATATTCGTTGCTACTTCATAACTGTAATTTTGCTACTGTTATGAATCATCATATAAATATCTCATATGCAGGATATCTGGTATGTGACCCCTGTGTAAAGGCTGTTCCACCCCCAGAGAGGTCACAACTCACAAAGTTAAGAACCACTGCTCTAAATCTTGTTGGGGAGGATCAGTTGTATTCCTAGAGTGCAGTGTTATTCTTGTTATGAATGGATATTGGACTATGTCAAATAATTTTTCTGCATCTATTGAGACAGAATTCTGTTTGTTTTTCTCCTTTAGCCTCTTGGGATGATGGATGGCATTGATTTATTCTCAGATATTTAAACAGATTTGCACTCACAGCACAAAACCCACTTGGTCATAATATATTACTCATACAAATTGCTTGATTTGCTGGAATTGTATTTATTGTGTAAAGGGTTTCTTGTCTCTGTATTCACTAGGAATATTGGTCTGTGTGGATTTTGTTTTTCTTGCATGGTCTTGGTGCTTGTTTTGGTGCCCTGGCAAAGTTGGTTCTATGGCATAAGCTTGAGCACATCACCATCTGGTAGTTTTCAGGGGAGCCTTAGAGGGCAGTCTTTTTTTTTTTTTTCCTTTGTGGGTTTGGTAGAATTCCCTGACAAAACTCTTGTGGAGATGTCTTCTCCTCCTAAGGATTTTTAATAACAAGTAATACCTCTTTAAAAGATAGGTGCCAGTGTTTCATAGAACAGCACAGACCAGGTAGTTTAAAAAATTAATTCTCATGGTTTCAGAAACTACAAATCAATCCAAGACAGGTGCTGATTTTCAATTCTTTTATCTTATTTTTTGTTCATTGATTTGGAAGATTTTGTAGACAGATTTTCTAATCTCGAAATCTGCTGGCAGTCAAGGAAAGACTCATAGTTAATCGCCCTGAGTAATTTCCCATCATGCACTTGAGTTTGATGTAACCCTTGGAGAACATCTTCAGCTGCACTGGGACTGAGACAGGCTTCAGGATTGTTCCCGTATCCCACCCCCACCCCACCCCCAGTGCAATGACTTATCCTGGAAGTCAGCATTTCCTCTGACACCTTCAGGTTTTCCTGCCAGGGAGGAAAGGGGGGGGGGGGGCTTTCCCTGAAGGTGACACTGACCTCCACACATGGACCTTGTCCCAGCAGCCTTCTCAGGCTAGCCCAGGAAGTCTTACCTCTCTCTAAGGCTCCAACCTTGGTATTCTCGAGGTTGGTCCCTCAGAGGCATTTCCTCAGGCTTTCCTGCCTGGTTTCCCTGAGCTGTTTGCTGGGAAATTATTTCAAAGTGTGCATCTCCTGTCACTCGCCTCTTACGCCAAAGCTCTCATTTCTTTTCTCCTTTCATTCCCTTGGTCTGCTGAAGCATTTTCATATCTGCGTTCTTCTTTCTCACTGTCTTCTTGCCATTGCCCTTCCAAACCTTATTTTCTCTTCTGTCCTGCAGGATGGTAGGTGGAATGTTGGCTGTGCAGCTTCCCTCTCGCTTCTGGACCTAAAGACTCGGGAGATTGTTGAGTTTTTCTTTTTCCCTCAATGAACATTTTTAAAGACTTATTTTTATTTTTAAGTTATGTATACATGTGTGTATCTGTGTGAAAGTGTGTACAGCCAAGTACAGGTACCTGAAGAGGCTGGAAGAGAGTGTTGGATCCTCTGGAGTTGGAGTTAAAGGCTGTTATGAGCCGCTAGATGTTGGTGTTGGAAACTAAGTTTAAGTCCCCTGCAAGAAGAGTGTGTGTTCTTAACCGTGGAGCCATCTTTCCAACCACTCTCCAGCAGTCACATTTTCAATTCTTAAAACCCTCTGAGTGCTTTATCTGAGTCCCACAAGTGAAAGTAATTGCACCATTTTCATTCTCTCCCAAGTTTTTCACAGTTATACAATTTCATTTATATTCGTAAGTATACCCACACTTCCACAGCACTTAGGTTTCTGTGAGATTTTTGTTGTTGCTTTAAAATTACTTGCTACTAATTTTATTGTGCTTTGGTAAAGACAACAATAGTATTGAATGCATAGTATTGATTCTTTGGGACCTGGAAGTCTTTCTGAATTTAGTTAAGGTCAAGTCCCAAACACATTGTGCTGAGGATGTCTTTCTGTATGCTGTGAATGTATTGCTCTGATTGATTGTTAAATAAAGCGCTGATTGGTCAGTAGCCAGGCAGGAAGTATAGTATAGGCTGGATAAGCAGAGAGGAGAATTCTGGGAAGTGGAAGGCTGAGTCAGGAGATGCTGCCAGCTGCCACTGCCATGAGAAGCAAGATGTGAAGTACTGGTAATCCACGAGCCATGTGGCAATTTATAGATGAATAAAAATGGGTTAATTTAAGATATAAGAACTAGATAGCAAGAAGCCTGCCACGGCCCATACAGTTTATAAATAATATAAGTCTCTGTGTGTTTACTTGGGTTAGAGTGGCTGCAGGAGCCGGGTGGACACAGGAAACCTTCAGCTACCTTCAGCATTGTGTAGTTCTGTCTGATCATTGTGAGCTGGTCTGCCCTGCCTTCACTTGGGCTTTTTCCTTGCAGCTCTAAGATCTGCACCTGGGCCACTTTCTCCTACCTGGAATATCAGTTGTAGTGATGAGCTGAGGCCTTTTAGTGTGATAAAGTCTCTTTCCGCCCTGTAAGCTGACCTTTTGCTACTTATGTGCTTTGAGGCTGGTTAATGCTGCTTGTGTGGGTCCTCAGCCCTGATGTCACCCTTGCAATCACATGACCCTCTTCTGCTGCCCTGGACTGTATGACCGGGGCAGGGGGGGGGTCACTTTTTTCTCTCCTTCTATTGACAGTACCATTTATTCATTGGGAAATCACAATGCCATGTGTCTCCCTGCACCTCTGGGCCTCTGTGTTGGCCTGGTGTGTGGAGCATTGACTTGACCATGAGTCACAGTGCCTGCTATCCTCCCATAAATATCACATGGGTGGGGCTCTGTTTTCTCCCTAAGCACTCAAGAGCCTCCCTAATCATTTAGGGGTGAGAGAGTAGATATGGGAAGATCCATGGCCATCCACATCCTGACCCTCTTGGAAAATCGTCAGACTCAGAGCATCAGCGGGGGACCCTACCTCACCAGAGTTACAGAGCCTCAAAGGGACAGGTGTGGGAACAAGAAACATGGACCTGAGAGTCCTATACCTGTTCCTGAATAGTAGCACACTAAACATACACATATACACCCACAGTACATAACCATACACCATCTAAACACACACATATACACACACCACATTTATGCACAACACACACAGACACACAACACTACAGTGTACTGCACAACATTATTACTATACTGGCACCCCGTGTCTACAGATGCTGCCACAGACAATAGGAGGCCCAGTGACCCAACACATTTTGCAGTGCCCCAGGCTCATTAGGGTCCTCTGTCCTGTCCTGAGAGGACCTGCAAGTATCTCAGCTCTGCTCAGCCTTACCCTGTGCCCCTTGGAAGGTGGGATGATGGCAGAATTGTGAACTCCAATCACTCCTTTCCCTGCCAAACTGGGATTGCCCCTATGTCTCATGCCCTACATGAAGAGCATACAGTAAACTCTCCCCCAACACATCACACATAACACACACACACACACACACACACACACACACACACACACACACACACTCCAGGGTCTTTCAGGACAGTGGAATGGAGGCCCCTATGTTAATGCCAATCCATCCACCAGGGAAGATGTGCTATGTTTTGTAGTGGGGCTGTTAGTTCTGCTGGTTCCTGGCTACTGGAAGAGCTTCAGCTCCAGCTTCAATGTACCTGCTGGCTCCAAATCCAACCTCAGTCCAGTGCACCTGCCAGATCCCAGCCCAGCCCTAACATTGTGCATCTGCAAGATCCCAACCCAGCCCTAACATCAATGCATCTGCTGGCTTCCAGCTCAGTACAGGCTGCTATACCAGTTTCTGTTTACTCTATACCCCTACCCCAGAGAATGTAGCTGTGGCAACCAGGCCAAAGGAGAAGACCTAGGTTCCTATCTACCACTGCTTCATACAAGTTGTGCAGGAAAGAAGGTCACCCAAGGGAGATGCCACTGAGGCCCACATCCAGTGTCGGCTGTAGACACTAAGAGCTGCTTCTCTTATTTTAAACATTTTTCTTTAAGACTGTAAAATCTTTTATTATGTCAGATTAAAGACTCAAGATCTGCAGATTATGGAGCCACGAAAGTCACTAAACTCATGTTAGGCGTGCAGTCTACTCCAGCACTCTCCACATGGGGAATTCTGAACCAGCAAATCTGGACTTATCTGAATAGTCGCATCTCCAGGCTAATGACTTGAGGGGGAAGCCGGGAGTCTAGAGCTAGACTGTCTCCCTCCAAAGGCACTTTCAACCTTGTCTTACCCTTCAATTCCTCAGAACTTTCAATGTCCTGCAACTGGATACTGCCTGGGAGCATTGTGACCTATCAGTGATGCCACTCCTGAGCCTCTCAACACCTCCATGGAATCTGCACCAAGGCTTATGCTGGCAGCAGAGGAAGAGGAATTCCAGAGAGCATGTGATGTCCTGGCAAGGAGAGGCAAGCCTTCCTACCTTACCTCACCCAGGTTCTGAAGTGTCGTCCCACTCTGCGAACATGAGTGCTTCGGGCAGCCCCCAACAGCTACTTTGAACGCATTCACCCCAGGCAACGGGTGCCTTGCTGACCCCACTACACTGCAGTTCCCCTATTTGTCCATTGAGATTCTCCTTGCCAACTGGGGAGACCTCTGTGCAGATTGTACGAGATCATCTTTGGCACTGAGAAAGGGCTGAGTCTGTCCCCTCAGCTCCTCCTAGCCTCCAGAGCCAGGACCCCTCAAATTTTTCAGATGAGGAGGTGCTGGAAAGGAGCCACTCCTCCTGATCAGGTAAGCCTGTTGAGTTCCCGTGGGGCCCCAGGGACTGAAGGTCAGTGAGGAGCCTGGGCTTGCCCTTCAGAGCCCTCATGGTGTGTCTTCTGTAGTGACAGCTCATCTTTCCTGCTCTTACATGTCATGGGCCCCTCTTTCAAACCATGCTCAGTGGCACAGTCAACACATGCCCATGGAGTTAGAGGAAAGCAGGTGTGGATGACAGCAGAGAGTCTGGGCCTGATCTGTGGAAAGGGCATGTATGGATATAAGCCTGGCAGAAGAATGCATGCTCTGTCCATGGGCATGCTGGGCCTCTGGTGCCCAGAAGAATGCATGCTCTGTACATGGGCATGCTGGGCCTCTGTGCCCATCAAAAAGAGTGCTCTGTGTGCCTGTCTTCCCACATACTGTCATGAGAGAGTGGGTATCCAGCTCTCCAGAGTCACCCTGTTCCATCTCTGCTAAGATGGGACTGTCACCATGCTGCTAGTATTGACATTTGAGAATTCAGGCTTCCTAGCCCACATTGGGCTTGGATGTAGCCTAGACATTAGATCATTGGTTAATCTTCTAAGACAATTCTACCACGTGGCTATGGAAGGTGAGGAGGGTGGACAACCCACTGAATTAGAGAAGACATGTTACCTGACTCTAGGACAAAGGCAATAAAATCAGGCAATCCTGCCTGGTCCATCCTGGAGTCCAGAGATAGCTGTAGCTAGGAAGTCTAACAGGCTGGTGTGGCTCTCGGGGGCTGACTGCTGGCTCTTGCCCTGCCCATACTGAAGGCCTGTGTGTGTTTAGGGGAGGTGAGTCAATATGCACAGGGTGAATGAGTAGACAAGATGGACATATTTTCTCCTGCTGGTCAACCTTCCAGGCTCCAGGGACAGGCTGTCAATGATGCGATTAACAATGGTGCCAATTCTGTGTAAATGAGCTGATGTCTGCCCCGTGGAGCACAGCGTCCTGCTGCCTAGCTGTCAGGAGACCCACAACTCCCAGGCCAGAACTGTAGCTGCCCGGGAAGGTGACCAGTGACTGCAGCCAAACAGCCAGCCCGGGGCCTCATTTCCATGCTGTAATCCCATAAGCAAATAGTTTGATTGTATTAGTTGAGGGTAATTTTTCACACTTCACAGTAGCTGCTCAGTTTGCTTCTGGATTCTGCTGACTCTTCGAAGAATTTGCACAATAAAATAATGGAAAAGTACAGTAACCAGTGAAGCTAGACCCCAGATCTCATTCAATCAAACCCTTGGAGCAGCAAGTGCTAATGGGCCTGCTCAACCCTCTTGCCTTCTATGCTCTGGACTGCAGTTTTTTTCCCTGGTATGTATTGTGGGGCTGACTTTTCAACTCACGTGTGCAGCCATCAAGACATCCATGCTCCTTCCATCCAGCTTTATTAGCTGGGCCTTCACACCGTGCACACTCCTGAACCTCTAAGTTGTCCACCCTGATGGGACCTTCCAAAGCGAAGGTGTGGAGGTAGGAAGAAAGTCTTGCATCCAGATTCTATGTCCTTGGGCTGGAAATGAGCCCTGTGGACAGGCATGGAGAAGGTTGAAGGCAGCCTTTGTGGACTCCTAGAGCCACTTAAGATGAGATGCAGACAGAAGGAAAGAGGGAAGAAGGAAGGAGGGAGGGAGGAAGGAAGGAAAGAAGGAAGGAAGGAAGCAGGCAGGGAGGGAGGCAGGGTGAGAGGGAGAGAAGGAGAGAGGGAGGCAAGCCTCACTGTTGAAGGTTGAGGATTGGCCCCTTGTCAATGCTGACATCTCCTAACTCAAGTGTGCCACGTGATACCCCAGAAAGCACAGCTGCATCCTGACTCCATACCTGTGAAGGTGAGCTCTCTTTTGGAGCACCTTTGGAGCTGTAATTTAGCCGATTTGAGGTGACATCATCCTAGATTAGCCAATAGTAACCGTCCTCGTGAAATAAAGGAGGGGGTGCTCCTGTCTGGAAGTCAGTCTCTCAGCAGTGGAGAAAGACCCTGATGCTCCGAGAAGCTGCAGGGAGAGATGATTTGCCCTCTGGATGCCTCTGTCAGGGGCCCCTCACCACATCCTTCACTCGATTCTTAGAGCTAAGCCTCAGAAAGAGGAGCTGGGGTAGCAGGAAGGCAAGCTTCAGAGGACACAACCATTCTCAGGCGATGCCTTGGTGTCCAGGGTAGGAACTCAGTGTTTCCATCTCAGCCTCAGCCACTCTGTCCTATGTTGGGCTGACCACCAGCTACAGAGGCCCCTTCCATTTACGTTCTTTTAGTGGCTCCTTTGTCTTTGTTCTAACTCCAAGATACTCCCAGGGCCAATCCCGTGATGTCCTCCCCAGTCCTTTTCAAAGCCCCCTGCCACATCGCTCTGGTAAAGACAAGCCCCATGACTCCAGGTGACAGGGCATGGGTAGGGGGGCCACTGAGGATGGTACATCTGTGAGTCCCCATGCTGGCAGGGCAGTGGGTGTAGGGTGTACTGAACCTGCCATGCTTGTGCTGGGAACAGAATCTCGAGGTTGTGCCTCCTCTAGTAGATCCAGCTAGGTCATGGGAGCCACTTTCTCGGCTCCACATAGCAAGCTGCAGAGACAAAGGGACCCTCTTCTTATTCTGAAGGCTTGTAACCCACAGTATTAGCTACAATCACAGCGTGTTAACTAATGTCATTTGCATTGTGTTTGCTAACAAAGGGACTAAGGTTGCAAGGACAGCTCTGACATAAATCAATGTCTTAGGTCCTTGGAGATACCACGGCAAGCCCAAGGCTGATTTTCCTTCCAGGAACAGGAGCAGCTTTCTCCGTCGTAGGAGAAGTCCTCTAAGCCGTAGCCCTGTCGCTCTGCCTCGGTTGGCCCCAGCCTGGGGAATCAAGACATAGATGGTATAGAGATGCAGGCTGGGATGTGAACATCTGGGATGCCTGGGAGCTTCCCCCTGGACTGCAGCCAGGTCACTTATCTGAGAGCAGGACAAGGGCTTTCTGTGGATGAGGATATCCCTCTTGCGGGCCAGAAGCCTCCACCACAGGCAGAGCCTATTTCTGTCTGCTCTTGGCTCCGAGCCGTGCTTTGTGAAAGCCTGGGACTGTGCGCACTGTTTGGTGTAAAAGGAGAGCCATGCCATCCTGCCATTCTTATGGATGTTTGTCACCTCCCTCTGAGGTGTCCCTGGGGCTTTACTGAGACAGTGTGCCTATCAGCTCTGAGATCCTTCCCACTGCTCTCAACCCAGCCTGAGCCCTGTCTCCTGAACTTCTGAGAGGGGTCCTGTGTCTTCTGAATGAAGTGGAAGCTCAGAGGTGACCAGGGATTTCGACTAGTTCATTTAATTTTAGAACTCGGTGTCATGGTTAGAATAGGAGATGTGACCCTACAGACTCATGTGCTAAACACTTGGTCCCCAGCGGGTGGTACTGACCAGGGAGGCAAACTTAGGGAGGTGGGAGCGCTACCTAGAGGAAGTAGATCATGAGTGTGTAAAGTGAGAGTTTCGGCACCAGCTGTATAAAGTGAAGGCATGACCACTCCAAGGTGTGGTCAAGGGGAAGGTTTCTGGAAGGGCAGGAAGAGAAAGCAGTAGACGGAACATGGTCAGTAGACTGAACCAGGCTATGAGAGGAGGGGGGTGAGCAAGAGAGGAGCAAGAGAGAGGAGGGATCTAGAGGACCAAGAGAGAGGGGGCCGAAGAGAGGGGGATCCAAGAGAAAGCCAAGAACCAACAGAAAGCCAAGATAGAGAGAGAACCAAGGGAGCTCTTGGCCCAAATGGCAGAGTTATACAGCAATAAGAAGCTAGGCAAAGGGAAGCCCATGAGCTGGAGAAGTTTAGGGTACAGGGTGGGGTGAGAAGAGCTGGGAAGAGCGTGGGTGCCAGTATGGACTCTGTAACAGCTACTGGAGATCATGAGCCAGTCCGGAGGCCAGTATACTCTTTGGTATGCTAATAGGCACCACAGTTAGTCATTTGTCCCCAGTTTTCTTTTGGACCGGACAATGAGGGAATGCCTTTGAAGTGAGTACCAAGCCTTTGGTCTCTTTCTTTTTTCTCCTCTGAGCCATTTTCCACTCTCCACTAAAATGAAGTACAAGATAGCATATTCAGAAGCCAAATTTGAGTGACTATGGCCCATTTAGTTTACCCCAAAACCCATGGTCCAACAGGGAAGCAGTTTTGTGACCTTTTTATAGTCCTATCTACAGCCATCCTTCAAACAGCCCTAACTCACTGGCTATATCCCACATAGGTTCTGAACAGAGATGGGCTTCCACATTTCTAAAACCTGGGGTTAAGAGTAGCAAGTGATGTGGGTCAGGAGTGAGGTCAGGTGACATACGCACATGCACACTCTGGGACTTCACTATGCTCGGTTGGTGGCATTTGGAGTCTTCAGGACCTTGGGGACCTCGTGAGAGCAGCTTTCTGGGTAGACTCCTTTCCCATGGAAGGTGCCTGGCACTAATCAAGGCATCACTGATAGAGCCATTTGTCTGGAAAAACAGCTCTTGCTTCTGTTTTCTTAAGATTCATCTCTGCTAACCACGAGTGGAGCTCAGGTCCAGAGACACAGGCTACATAGCCAGGCCTTAAGCCTGATATAGAGTGTGTGGGCTTGCAGGTCAAAGGCAAGAATCCAAGGTTTGGGTTTGTCTGTTCCTAGCCTCTGCTCCTGGCCAGGGGCTGGAGGTCACTGTGCTTCCAGGTCCTACCCTATGTGACAGTGAGCAGATGAAAAAGATGGGCTTGAAAGCCAGGTACTAGGGGTAAATAAGAGGGAGTGTGGTGGTTTGAATAAGAATGGCCTTTATAGGCTCACATAGTTAAATGCTTAGGAAGCGATGCTATTTAAAAGGATTAGGAGGTGTGGCCTTGTTGGAGAAGTCACTGGGAGTGGACTTTGAGGTTTCAGAAACCCAAGCCGGGCCCAGAAGCTCTCTCACCCTTCCTGCTGCCTGAGGATCCCGGTGTTGAACTTTCAGTCTGCCTGTGTGCTGCCATGCTACCCACCATGGATAATGGACTAAGCCTCTGAAACTGTAAGCAAGCCCCAATTAAATGTTTTCCTTTAAAAGAGCTGCCGTGGCCATGGTGTCTCTTCACAGTGATAGAACACTGACTAAGACAGGGAGCAAGTCTCCAGAGGAGCCTAATCCAATGGGAACAAGAAGCAGGTGAAGGTAGAGGGCCAAGGGCAGGAGACAGAGTGAACCCCAGCAGTGGTGAGGTCAGGGAGTAGGAAGATAATGATAGAATGGGAGGAGGATGGTGATAAGATGGAGAGGAGGGTGACGACATGTGGGGAGGAGGGGGATGAGATGGGGGAAAGAAGGGTAATGAGATGGGGAGGAGGGTGATGACATGTGGGGAGGAGGGGGATGAGATGGGGAAAGAAAGGTGATGAGATGTGGGGAGGAGGGTGATGAGATGGGAGGAGGGTGGTAAGATGGGGAGGAGGAGGAGATGGGGAGGAGGGTGATGAGATGGGGAGGAGGGTGATGAGATGGGGAGGAGGGTGATGAGATGGGGAGGAGGGTGATGAGATGGGAGGAGGGTGGTAAGATGGGGAGGAGGAGGAGATGGGGAGGAGGGTGATGAGATGGGAGGAGGGTGATGAGATGGGGAGGAGGGTGATGAGATGGGGAGGAGGGTGATGAGATGGGGGAAAGAAGGGTGATGAGATGGGAGGAAGAGAGTGATATTGGGAAGAGGTGAAGAATGAGTCTGATGTCTGGAGATAAAGAGATGAAGGTGTGAGTCATGGGACACAGACAGCAAAGTGAACGAACCATTATGACAAAAACCGAGTAGAATGCAGAGCCAGGAAGAAGGCCTCAAGTGACAGCACAGCAGGGCCTGAGAGCTGCTGAGGAAATAAGTTCTTCCCCCCATCTCTCTGGGGCTCCACAGCAGGCTATCGAGGCTTCATCCCAAGAACTCCTACCTGTGCCACAGTCAGGTAACACAGGCTGACTTCTCTCTCAACAGGGCTCTGGGGGCTGTGGATGAAGGGGGCTTCCTGGAAAGATGACGCAGATGCCCCTCTCCTCCCCTCACACATGGGTGGGGGAGTGCCACTCTCCACTTTCTGAGATGAGTGTCCCTCATCTAAGATGCTGGGTTGTAGCTAGGCACAACTAACCCCAAGCAGGCAATGATCTCACCTCTCAAGTTCCTCAGAACAGACGTTTAAACCACCTCCTCCCATGGCAAATAGCTCACAGCATCCTTCCAAAGTATCCTCCCCACAGCATCTTCCCCATGGCCTCTCAGATTGTGTGGCCACTGATCGCCGCCGTTTCTGGGAGAATGAGAGGCCATAGCTGAGTCACAGGGAGAAGAATGGGCCTTTAGTCCAGGCAGGTGAGTGCAAATCCCAAAGTATCCCCCATCACCAAGCTCTAGCTCAATGGCTCTCAGAAGACAAAGGGTGTGTGAATCTGGTGTCCATCTCTGGATGCTTTGGGCCAGACTAAAAATGGCACCTGGAAACATTACTTCCAGGGGTCAACCAGCATCCTTGAAATGCGCGTTACTTCACACTAAACACTTCCAATTTCCTTTGAGTTATTGCATTCATAGGCCTGCTGGCGCGTGTCAGCTGGAACAAATGAGCATTGTCTTCCTAGCATGAGGAGCAGTAAGGGAAGTCCCCTGCAGCTCCTGCAATACGGGGGAGCCTTCCTCACCTAACAAAACTGATGTCTCCATCAAGGTGGGGGTAAG